GGGGGGGCACAGGGGGGCTGACATGGGGCAGGAGGGCAATGGGAGCCTTGGTTTGGGGCTTGGGGGGCTGCGGGAAGACGTGAGGGGACCGGGCTGTGCTGCTGAGGTGCCGGGATGGGGCGTGGGGGAGCCGGAGTGGGGCACTGGGGTGCCCGAGGTGGGAGTGCCAGGGCTGGGGAGGGCATGGGGACAAGAGGGGGTTAGCCGGACTGGGGGGCACCCCAGTGACAGCCCTGTGCCCCTGCAGCAGTGACCGAGCAACATGGAGGCTCTGGGAGACGCTGAAACCCCCACCTCGGACAAACCCACCTCGGACACCCCCACCGCAAGCACCCCCACCTCGGACACCCCGGCCACGAGCACCCCGACCCCCGGCACCCCCATCCCGGACACCCCCAGTGCTGGCGGTGCCGAGGCAGGGACAGCCGGGGGCACCGGAGCGGGTACCGAGGAGGGTACCGAGGGAAAAACGGCGCCGGCAGCTGCGGACAACTCCCGGCGCCGACAGGTGAGGAGGGGCTGGAGGGGAGGTGGCGGCACAGCCGGGGCAGGAGGCGGCGGGGAGGGCAGCTGCGATACGGATGGGGACGGGGGTGGCTTTACTGGGGCACGGTGAGAGTGCCAGGGCCGGGATGACAGTGCCAGGGACATTGTGTGAGTGACACTGACCGTGCTGGCAGTGCCACCCTGCCTGTTGCTTACAGGAACCCACTTGGCTTCAGGACGAGGACGACGAGCTGTGGCCTGAGTTCCCTCCCTGCTCGTCCCCAGAGGGGGCCACCAGCCCCACGTCCCCCACATCCCCCATGTCCCCTGCATCTCCCACGTCCCCTATGTCCCCCACGTCCCCTACATCCCCTATGTCCCCTACATCCCCTATGTCCCCGGCATCCCCAGCGTCCCCCACAGGTAAGAGCCATTTGGGCGATGGCACCCGAGTGTCCTGGGGTCACTGCTGCCCCACAGTGTCCATCCTCCCCAAGGGAAAGGACCTTGAGCCCCAGGGGTGCCCCGGGGGTGTGGGTGCCCTCTCGCAGCCCCTCCTCTCTCCTTGCAGCTGGCACCGCCGAGGACACGGCGGGCAGCAAGAGGTGTGTCCCCACGGGTGGCACCCCAGTACCCCACGGCAGGGATGGCACCCCGCAGCCCCCTGCTCATGGCTGTCCCACCCGTGTGTGCCTGCAGGGGCGCTCCGGCGGCGGGGACACGGGACAAGGCAGCTCCCGGTGCGGCGGGACAGAGGCTGAGGCTGGAGGGGGCCGGGGGACGGCCACGAGTGGGGACGCGGGCACAGGGGCGCAGCGCCATCCTGGAGAAGTTCGGAGGGTGAGGGGAGCCTGGCCCCATGGGGGGCAGGAGGGACACTGAGGGAATGGGGGACCCGGGGTTTTGGGGGGCTATAGGGCAGCCAGGGACTGTGGGATGGATGGGTCATGGAGCAGTGGGGGTGTTGGAAGGCCATGAGGCAGTGGGAGGTACAGGGGAATTGGGGGGCATGGCAGGGGCATGGCACAGTGGGGATATTGGGGGGCAATGGGGTCCTAGGGGCACTGCAGCTCTGTGGGGCAGAGAGGGAGGATATGGGGCAGAGGGGATATCAGGGGGCGTGGGGCAATGAGGGGAACAGGGAGGAATGGGGGGTCTGTAGGGTAGTGTGGGGTGGGACAGGGGGGCTGTGTGACCGTGGGGCACTGGGGGCTGGGCTTTGAGGGACGGTGGGTGTGGGGATGCCACTGCCAGGTCCCCCCAGGGCTGCCAAGGGCCCGGCCCCACACCTGCGGCGCTCAGGGGGGGCCGCCACGGTCAAGACGATGCTGCTGGAGTGGTGCCGCGCCCGCACCCGTGGGTACCCGGTGAGCGCGGGCGGGCGGGGGGCGGCGGGAGGGTCGGGTGGGGGGCCCGGGGGCGCCCTGACCCCCCCCGTGTGCGCAGCACGTGGACGTGCAGAACTTCTCGGCGAGCTGGGGCAGCGGCCTGGCCTTCTGCGCCCTCCTGCACAGCTTCTTCCCAGACGCCTTCGACTTCGCCGCGCTGGAGCCCGGAGCCCGCCGGGACAACTTCGCCCTGGCCTTCGCCACCGCCGAGTGCGTGAGCGCGGCCCCGGCCCCCCGGTGCCGCCCCCGGCCCCGGTGACCGCCGTGTCCCTTCCCGCAGGGAGCGGGCGGGCTGTGCCCCGCTGCTGGAGGTGGAGGACATGGTGCGGCTGCCGGTGCCCGACGCCAAGTGCGTGTACACGTACGTGCAGGAGCTGTACCGCTGCCTGGTGGCCAAGGGGCTCGTGAAGACCAAGAAGCGCTGAGAGGGTCCCCCACGGCCCCCCAGCTGTGCCAGCCCCCTGCTCTGTCCCCCAGCAGTAAAGGCCGTGGTTCCAGGCGGTGGTGGCTTCATCTTTGGAGGGAGGAGCGCCGGCACCGAGCGAGTGTCTGGGCATTGTCACCAGGTTGGGGCACAGCCTGGCTCTGCCACTAGGGCTGGCACGGTGTGGGGACAGCAACTCCTGGAGCCCCCCACCCTCCCAGTGAGGCACCCAGAGCCAGAGCAGGTGATGGAGAGCGTTTATTGCTCACGCGTGGGGCTCGGGGCGCGGCTCGGCGTGCAGCCGGGCGTGCTGCTCTGCCCGGCGCCGGAACGCCTCGGGGCGCTCCTGCAGCTCCCGGGCCACGTCCGGCCGCAGCAGCCGCCGCGGGTCTGGGCTGTCCAGCTGCAGCAGCAGGTCCTGCAGCACTGCAGAGACAGCGGGGTCAGAGGGACACCCAGCCCCAGCACTGCGCCCCTGTGCCCGCCGTGCCCACCTTGGATGGCGCGGGTGGTGGGCTGCCAGCGGCCGGGGGCGGTGAGGGGCTGGCAGACGCGGCCCTCGAGGTCCACGCTGGGGTGGTAGATGGGGGTGCGGAGGGTGAGGCAGGGGGGCTCCATCGGGTGGTGGGGGGAGAAGGTCAGCTCGAAGCGGAAGGCGCCCGTGTTGTACGGGGGGTTGTTCTGCCGGGATATGGGGGCACCTCAGCCCCCTGTGCCACACTGACACCCAGTGCCCCCCGAGGAGACTCCCCCGTGCCAGCCCGAGCCCCTCAGGAGGGGAAGCTCCACCCGGTGTCCCCAGCCCAGGACCCGCAGCGTCCCCAGAGGGACCCTCCCCAGTTCTGACCCTCACTCAGGGAGACAGCCCCGTCCCAAGGGTCATCCCGGTCCCTCCCATGTCCCCAGGGGCACATCCTTCCCCAAGCCCGCATGCCCCCCATGCGCAGGGGACCCCCGCTCCCCAGCACTCCCCTCAGCCCCCCGTGTCCCCACGTCCCCCCGTGTCCTCTCCCCACGCACGGGCAGCAGGAGCCCCCCCCAGCGCCGCACGTTCCCGTCCAGCGGCTGCACGTCGCGGGCCCCCTTCCAGCTCCGCGCCTCCTCCAGCTCCTGCGGGAAGGGGTGGGGCAGCTGTGGGCCGAGGTGTGTCCCCAGAGACCCCTCCATAGGTTAATCCTCCCCGGGAACACGCCTCTGCCCCCCCCCAGACCCCGCCTTGGTGGGCAGGGTTTAATTACCGGGCACACTTTTATGGACGGGGCCGCATGCTGGACACACCCCTGGGCGGGGCCGCCCCGCCGGGGAAACGAAACTGAAACGTGCAGGGGTATTTGTCACCCCCGCACCGGAGACCCTCCACCCCGGTACTGCTTCCCTCGCACCCCGCCACCGGGACCCCCTCACCGGGCACTGACACCCCCAGCACCGCCTCTCCCCGGTACCGGGACCCCCGCACAGGCACTGACACCCCCAGCACCGCCTCTCCCCGGTACCGGGACCCCCTCACCCGGCACTGACACCCCCAGCACCGCCTCTCCGCGGTACCGGGACCCTCTCACCGGGCACTGACACCCCCAGCACCGCCTCTCCCGCACCCCGGTACCGGGATCCCCGCACTGGCACTAACACTCCCCCGAACCCCTTTTCGCACCCCGGTACCGGGACCCCCGCACGGCGAGCTCGTTCCCCCCGGTCCCCGCTCCGGTGCGGACACCGGGACCCCCGCCCGGTACCGCAGCGGCGCCGGAGTCCCGGTCCCGTGCCGCTGGCCCCGGTGCCCACCTTGGCGATCCGCCCGGCCATGGTGCTCAGTGCCCGGTGCCACGGGCACGGTCACGCCTCCGGGCGGGCGGGACGAGGCTCTGCGGCCGCGCCCCCGGCACGGGTGGGTGGGGACAGATGGGCCTGGGGCGGCCGGCGACCCCCGCCCCGCGGGGCTCCCGGGGGCGCTGGGTGACAGAAGACCGGCGCCCCGCGGGGACGGGGGGCTGACCGGAGCAAAACGGGACGCGGGGCCGCATCCCGGCTGCCTCCGCACCCCGCTGCCCGCCCCCGCGGCTGCCCCCTCATTACCGGCCGTGTCCCGGCTGATTTACGGGAACCTCCTTAATTTTTAACCAGGCAGGGTCGGAGCCGGCCAGATCTCCCGGCGCCCGCTGGACACGCAGGGAGCGACCCGCCGGGCAGGCAGGTGGGCCCGGGGTGCTGCCTCCTGCCACCCCCACAGCCGGGTCCCCGGGGGGACAGAGCGGGGGCACCCCGGGGTGGGGTACGGGGCGTGCAGGGGGTGGGGGGGCGGCGTGCCGGGCTGGGGGATGCTGGGTGTCTGTCCTGCCCTTGACCTGTGCCCTCCCGCCAGCATGCCCACCGAGACACTCTGGCTGCCTCTGGCGTGGCTGGTGGCCACAGCCACGGTCACTGTCACCCCGGTAAGTGTGGCTCAGGGACACGGGCTCCCTGTGCCCGACACCCCTGTGTACCTCCTCATCTGGGTCTCCCAGCCGGGTGCCCTGTGCCCCCCTCACACAACTCCCTGTGCCCAGGTGCTCGCTCTGGAGGCCTCTCCCTGGATGACGCTGCTCAGAGAGCCCCCGACACCGCCTGTGCCCCCTGTGCCCCCTGCTCTTAGCCCGGCTCCCTCCCAGGACGTGGGGACCCCCGTGCTGCCCGTGCCCACCCCCAGTGCTCACCCCGAGGAGCTGCCTGGCTGGGCTGTCACGGACGTCCCCAGCCCCACAGCGCCGCAGGGGGCACTGGAGGGGCTGGACGCCGCTGCCAACGAAACCACGGCAGTGCCCACGCCTGGCACCAGCGCCCCGCCGTGCCCTGGGGACGAGGAGCCCACCGACAGCTGCGGGGAGCCCACGGGGGAGCAGCGGGCTGCCGTGGCCGAGGCTCTGGCCACCTTTGCCCTCCGCTTCTACCAGCGCATGGCAGAGGCCGCCCAGCCCGACGCCAACCTGCTCTTCTCCCCCCTCAACGTGGCCGTGGGGCTCTCGCACCTGCTGCTGGGTGAGGGGCCGCCCGCGGGCACCGGCACGGCCGTGTCACCGCTGTCCCGGCCGGGCCACCTCGCCGAGCTCCCCCTGTGCCCGCAGGAGCCCGCGGAGAAACCCGGGAGCGTCTGGCCGCCCTCCTGGCGTACCCGCCGGGGCTGCACTGCGTGCACGGCGCCCTGCAGCAGCTGGCCAGCGCGCCAGGCCTCTTCTCGGCCGCCCAGATCTTCCACCACCCAGGTGAGGCGGGCACCGGGTGCCGGTGGGGCGCTGCTGCCCGCCGGGCAGCCGGGCTGACCCCGGGACCGCGCCGCCCCGCAGAGCTGCAGCTGCGGCCCCGCTTTCTCAACGACTCGCTGCGCTTCTACGGCGCCCGCCCGTACGCCCTGAGCGGCAACGAGAGCCTGGACCTGCAGCGCATCAACGCCTGGGTGCGGGAGGCCAGCAAGGGGCTGCTGCCCTCGCTGCTTTCCGCGCTGCCCCCCGAGCCCCGCCTGCTGCTGCTCAGCGCCGTCCACCTGCGCGGTACGGCCCCGCCACCCTCCACCCCCGGGCATCCCCCGGGCGTCCCCCGGGCACGGGGCGCGGGGCTGAGGCCGCCCCGTGCGGCCCCGGTGCCCCCGCCGCAGCCGCGGTGCCGTGTCCCCGCAGCCGCCTGGCGCACGCCGCTGGACCGCAAGAAGACGGTGCTGCTGCCCTTCCTGCGGCCCGGGCGGCGGCCCCGCAAGGTGCCCACCATGACCAGCGCCAAGTACCCGGTGGCCTCCTTCACCGACTCCCGCCTGCAGGCCCAGGTAGCCCCTGGCCCGGAGCGGCCACCAGGTGCTGGGGGTCTGGGGTGGCATGATGTCACTCCAGTGGCACTAAGGAGCAGTGGCAGGCTGTGATATAACTCCTGCGGCACTCGGGGAGGGTGCCAGGCTGATGTCACTCCCCTGGCGCTGAAAGGGGCACAGGCTGTCACCTCGCTCCCCCGGGACTTTGCGGGATGCCAGGCTGGCGCCGTGGGGGTGCCGGTCCGTGGGGTCCCCGCGGTAGCCCTTAGGTGGGGGTCTGCCCCGCAGGTGGGGCGGCTGGAGCTGAACGGGGGGCTGAGCCTCGTGGTGCTGATGCCGCGGGGGCCCCTGGAGCCTCTGGAGAGCCTGGAGCGGGCGCTGGACCCCGCCACCTTCCGGGCGCTGCTGCGGCGGGCGGCGCGCACCCCGCCCCGGGCCACCGCGCTGTCCCTGCCCCGCCTGCGCCTCGACCTCGCCCTGGACGTGGTGCCTCTGGTGCACGACATGGGTAAGGACACCTCTGAGGGCACCACAGGGGCTGGCTGGGCTGCGGGGTCACATCGCTGCCGGTGCGGTGACGTTATCCCTGCAGGACCTCAGGGCCCCTCCCCGGGGGTCACTTTCCCCAGGGTCCCCAAAGTCCCCGGTGTCCCCGGTATCCCCTTACCTTTGGTTTCCCCTGGGGCCCCCCACACTCCCGTGTCCCCGGTGTCCCCCACGTCCCCAGTGCCCCGGAGGTGCCCTGCGCCACTAATGTCCCCTTATATCCCAGTGTCCCCGAATATCCCCCACCCCCGCGGTGTTCCGTATCCCCGAGTGTCCCTGGCGCCCCCCAGTGTCCCCGCCGTGTCCCCGTGTCCCTGCGTCGCCATGTCCCCGTCCCTCTGCTTTTCCCCGGACCCCTCGTGCCCCCTCGGTGTCCCCTCCGTCCCCGGTGTCCCCTCGGCCCGCTGTCCCCGCGTCCCGGCAGTGGCGCTGAGCGGTGTGCCGCAGACTTCGGGCTGTTCCTGGACGCGGAGCTGTGCGGGCTGGCGCGGGGCCCGGCCGCGGTGGACTCGGCGCGGCACCGGGCGGTGCTGGCGCTGGACGAGGCCGGCGTGGAGGCGGCGGCGGCCATGGCCACCTCGGTGGCGCGCTCGGCTCTGGTGCTGGAAGCCCTGCGACCCTTCCTCTTCGTCCTCTGGCACGACACCGGCGACTTCCCCGTCTTCATGGGGCGGCTCAGCGACCCCCAGCCTTGAGTCTGCTGCTCCTGTCCCTGTCCTCCCTCCTCCTGCCATCCCTGCCTCCTCCTCTCCCTGCTTCCCTCCTTCCCTCTCTCCTTTACCCCTTTCCTCTCTATCTCCTCCCATCCTCCCTCCCTTCATCCCTCCGTCCTTCTCTCTGCATCCCTTGTCCCTCTCCTCTCCTCTCCTCTCCTCTCCAGGGCACCAGGGGGTCCCTGCTCCTGCCGTGCCTCAGTTTCCCCGCCAGCTCGGGGTGCCAATAAACGCACCAACCACCTCCCGCCTCCTGCGTGTGAGGAGGGGAGGGGACAGGCTGGGGCCACCAGGGACCCCGCTCTGTGCCAGGCTCTGTGCCAGGGTGGTGGCAGCGCGGGGGGCAGGTGACAGCCAGCACCCTCCTAAAAAAAAAGCCTTTATTGCCCTAGAAAAGCCCCGCGACCCCCGCGGCTGCTGCCACCCGGGGGGCACCGGGGGGCACAGCGGAGGCGCCAAGGAGGGGGTGACCCGGTGCCCCCCGGTGCCCTCCAGTCCCAGGCGCGCCCCCGCCTCAGTCCCAGCCGTTCTCCTTCACCATGTGCGACATCTCGATGATGAACTTCCCCTCCTTGTACTTCTGGCTGCTCTCGAACGCCTGCTCCTGGGGGGGGGACACCGTGTCAGCCCCCCCGTGCTCGGGGGTGGCGGCAGCAAAGGCTTGGGGTGCCCGGGCGGGGGTTGGGGTGCCCGGGATGCCCATGGAAAGGGTTGGGGTGCCCAGGCAGGGGTTGGGGTGCCCGGGGATTCCCATGGAAAGGTTTGGGGCGCCCAGGCAGGGGTTGGGGTGCCCGGGCAGGGGTTGGGGTGCCCAGGCATGGTTGGGGTGCCCGGGCAGTGCCCGCCGCAGGTGGGTGTCCCAGCTGGGGGGCACTCACGTATTTCCAGCCCAGGGTGGTCTTGCAGCTCTGGCAGAAGATGTCGGCCACCGAGTGCAGCCCCGTGAGCAGCAGGCGCTGCTCGGCCGGGCCGCAGCCCACGTTCACCCTGCGCCGAGAGCGGGGTGCCAGGGGCTCGGCACGGCCGGCCCCGGGAGCCCCGGGTGCCCCTCCCCGCCGCCGGCCCCGGTACTCACACGGAGTTGAAGAGGTAGGCACGGCCGTGGCTGCCCTGGAAGGACTGTGGCGACACGCCGAGTGTCACTGCGCGTCCCCCGCGTCCCCCGGCACCCCGCCCTCCACCTGGCCGCGCTGCCACCGGCACGGGGACACCGCGGGGGGACTCCTGCCAGCCCGGGGACACCGAGGGAGGCACGGCCACCTCCGTGGGGTCACCGCGGGGGGAGGATGCTTCAAACCCAGCGCTGCGGGGACGCGGCGAAGGGACACGCCGCTGTCCCAGAACCCCCCCGGGGGTGGCACCTTGGAGATGAGCTCCTCGTGGCGGGCCAGGTGCGCCCGGCAGTGCACGCAGCTGTAGGTGCGGTGCGAGCGCGGCAGGTAGCTGCGGAAGGTGCGCGGCGGCAGGCGGGCCCCGGCGGCGGCGGGCAGGCGGCGGCCACGGCGCAGCCCCCGCACAGCCGCTCGCAGGGGAAGCAGCGCAGCAGCGCGCCCAGAGCCGCCGTCCCGCCCGGACGGGCTCGGGGGGCTCCGCCGGGGCCCCCCGGCAGGAGGAGGCGGAAAAGGGGGGCGGCCTGCCGGGGGGGAGCGGGGCAGGTCAGGGGGGACCCCTCCTCCGCAGCCCCCCGGGAGTGGCAGGAGTGACACCGGGGACACCGGGGGGGCACGGGGGGGGGCGTCCCGAGCGGGGTCTGGGGGCTCTTCTGGAAGCACCCCCGGGGAGTGCGGTGCCCGGGGAGGGGATGGGGGTCCCGAGGGGCGGTGATGGGTCCCGGGGGTCCCCGGGAGGGGGCTGGGGGGGG